GCCTATAGAATCACCTTCATTGTAAAATTCAGTCTCAAAAACAAATGAATCCTCTGACATTATGATTTGATTGCATGCCACAGAACGCAAAAGTCATTCCATTAACTTGAGCATTAACTTGTTGAGTTGGATTGAAAGTAAGAGTTGGCAGATTGTTTAAAATTGTTGTATAGTAAGAGTTTTTAAACACTATGTCTCCCATTAAAGACTGCAACAATCTCCTTTTGAGTTGGAGAGAAGGGAATGGTAAACACAGCATTTTAGCATCACTCCGCCGTACAAATGGGAGGCAAAGTTCCCTATGAACTTTTACCAAAGCCTGGCGGGTGTATTATTCTCCCACCTACATAAATAAGCGAACCACAAGGCTATGTGCTTATGCGCAGCCAGAGGGAGCTCTGGCCCCCTCGGTGTGACCTCTCCGGGCTTAAAGTTTCCGCGCCTCAGGTGTTCACTTTTAACCCGTCGTAGCGTCAGGATTATCCTATCGGGTCAGCCGACCAGTAGAACGACAATTTTACTCTTAATTTTAAAGATTTTCTTTAACCACACAATGATTTTACCGTTCACCCACTTAAAGAACAAATCACAGGGTTTCCGTTTATTGATAACGAATTCACAATGAAGGATGTGTTTGACATTTTGGCTATCTTAAGAGTTGATCTAAGCTTCCGTCTCGTAAAATTGCATATCCCTTAGGTGTCATGCCGAGAGTCTGTGGTTTTACGACCACATTGGCCCACCGACCCACTCAATGACGGTCTGGTTTAAATGATGCACCTCCCCCTCTCACGTTGTCACCAACCCGATCTTGTTTAAGTCTTTCCTACGGTTTAATTATCATTCCTTGTCTTGACTCCTTTACTTCTTATTCTCAGTCGAAGATAGAAGAATTCAGGCATCGTGACTTCAAAGGAAAGGCCTTAGAACCAACGTTCTCTGCAGTATGATATCTAATGGACCGTTTATTTCATAATAATAAGGAAGACTATAACAACTTTTGCCTCTCCTTCTATCATCATCTATTAGATTTGACAAAAATCATACAACATGTGGTGCTGTTGACACATTGTTCCTAATATTAATACGCAACCAAAGACCAACCGATTTTATCAAATCTCTTGTAAATGATTAAAAATTGCGAGGTCGTCATCGGTTCACGCAGCGATATGACTGGCTTCTGATCATTGCAAAGACTCAGATTCACAGCCTTAGCATTACTTACGAGCTTAACACTGCTTACTTTTGGGGCCCCAATACCCCTTGACTTTCTTTTGGGCTTTAATGGGACCCAATCCTTAAAACCATTGAAACTATACACATCGCAATTTTTAGCGTTATTCAGTCGAAAGCACGTTACTTACAGTGTGCTCACCCTGTGTGATAAGAATTTTGCTGAGCTCGCTGTCATTGCAGTATCCAGAGCAATCCCGTCAATGTACTGATGTCCACTGTTTGCGCATCACTCGCTGATTGGTCAAGCCTAGAGATGCATGCGTGCACACACTCATTCAGTCAACCAATCACAATCAAGAAGGGGTACACATACGTGTGCTCTCCTTTCTGTGATCTCACTTGACACGGGATTGTGCTAGATGACACAGTCAGAACAATCTTCAAAATCGAAAGTGCCTTTGCAACCCTACAGTGGAGGCAATCCCAGATTTTTCCATCCCAGCCAACACCGACTAGACCCAGTGACAAGTCGCATGCTCTCAAGGCATAATGGTGAGGATGCCAGTCGACTGCGCAAGGTGAGTTTAGGCACTCACAATTTTAGTAGCAACCAACATAAACGTCCATTTTACGAGTTGATAGGAGAAAGAAGTGATGGAATTAAAGAAGTTTGATAACCTTACACTGGCACATATATGGATTTGAATGTGTACTATAACCAAGATAGGTTGCAACTGTCGATTTGCAGACAATTATTATTCCTTTTGTTTTTCTGAGGCGTAAATAAAATAGCGCAAAAGAGACGACCCAACGCTTTAGCTTAAAGGTGCAGCTTTATGATTTGATAGCATAGCACCTGATTTTTTTAAATTTTGCTATTCAGATCACAAAACCTCTCATGGAGAAGAAGAGACGGGAGCGAATCAACTTGGCTCTGGAGTCTTTGAAGCGTTTCGTCGCGGAGCCCATTCTAAAGGAGGTAAACAGTTTTGCAATATTAGAATTATTGGATTTTGAGCTTTGGATCATCCCACACTTTTCAAATGGAAACGTCACTTCGTAACTTGTAGGGGGCTCAAAAATTGGAAAAGGCGGATATTCTGGATCTTACCGTCAAATACGTGCACTCCTGCGCTAACAGTAAGAATTTCGTAAATCTGATCCTTGTCACTGGTGCACCTTGACAGATGCCCGTAAGTTTCATATTTTACTATAGGGAACCCCTCACCTTTGCCTCCTGAGACACCATGGCTTAGTTTCCTGGCGGGTTACTCGGCGTGTGAGGCCATCCTTCGTCACCTTCTCACTGCTACACCCACAACACTCCTCCAGCCTTATCCTCTTCCTCCTCGCCAAACTGCAGCACTGTTGATGGCCTTGGATGCGAGAAAAGTGACTGCTGCATCGGCATATCTAGATACTCTGGGACAAGAAAGCGTTGTAGCTCCTCCTCCTCCTCCTCCACCACCACCGCTCTCCTTTAATTCAGATGCTCTTAATCAACGATCACAACAACAGCATCAGCAACAGGAAAGGCCTCCGGTGTGGAGGCCATGGTAGGAAAACCTTAGCATGCTGGGAATTACCGGCCTTATAAACATGGCTTTTGTGAGCCAAGAAATATGTACTCTAAACACGTTCATGACGCCTTTTAACCAAAAAATTGTTGTATAAGCGAATATATTAAAGTAATTGTTCTGGGGAGATGAATAATAGAGTTCTGCCAGAGGCAGTGATTCTTTAGGGTCAACAGTAGCAAATGTCTGCGTTTATTTGAGGTCCGTCGGTGCAGTTCAAATGCTATTAAATTCAATCTCTTGATTCAAAGCAATAACCTATACTACCTACTGATTTGGACATCAGTCTTGAGATAGAAGCTTGCTTACCGCCTGGCCTGTTTGCCTTTTGGACCTATAATCGTGTGCTTAAACTAGTTTGCTTTATACCAAGGTTCGCAGACCATTTGAGATCTACTAAGTACTCAAGCCAATCAAGAGGAGAGCTCGTAAGAAGCCCAGACTCTTGCAACTGAGATAAATCGACTGGACGCAAGCGAAAAATCTGCCATGGGAAGGCGTTCAGAGAAGGGAAAGCAAAGTTAAACATTTAATAAACTCTTAAACCAACATATTTCATACCAAGCTGCTCCCAAAAAAGGCTGTGAAAGGGAAGCGAGGCAGATAATATCCCGAATCGATTCCTTCCACTGTCTTAGAAGCGATTCTCGACCCTGTAGCACAGGAATGAATGCGGGATCTTGATGGAACAGAACCCACCGACTCATGTCTTCTCATTATCAGTAGCTTTCAATAATAATTGTGTAAACATTTAGATTAATCTGTAAGGTTCGCCAAAAGAGCTAAGCTTTGCTGATAAGAAAAAATGGAATAACCGGCATCCACAACAATTTTTACTCCCAATCACCAGTGGTCTAACATCATCCAACAACAAACTGCTACTAATAAGAAAATAAGTAGGTATAATCATCTAGATCGACATACAAGTTGCCTTCGAAGCCAGTTAAAAATGTCTACTCACCCAATCCCTTGATAAATAAGAACAGCACAAAAAGAGAGCACAAAAACCAAAAGGTAGCTAAAATACACACATATTTCAATAGGACACATCAGCCAAGAACTGAGTGCGTGTACACTTATCCACACATCACACACCCAGACCCTTGCCGAGTGAGGAAATAGAAAAGTGGAACAAATATCCATTTTTCATTCAGCATCATCTTCTTGTCGTTCTTCAGCACTCCATGAGGGGCAAGTAGGGACAAAATGCGACAATCTAACTCTGTTGATTTTCGGCGAGTTCTTGTAGTTTCTTCTCCAGAAACGCCGAGACGTCTTGAGCGCAGCCATGAAGGCGACTGCCTGGACGATTAGATGTCGTCCAGTGCTGTGTCAAGAGTCTGCAAAACAACCAAAACAAAGAAAAGTTGGTAGTGCCCTAAAGACAACATAAAAATACATCCACGTTGATATCAACGGCGAATGCTGAAGGAAATAGAAGATAGGAAGATTGGCACTACTTGGAGAAAATTAGGCGATTCGGAATAACGAATGACAACAGTCAATTTGACTCACCGCAACTGTGAAACAACCTGTGCTGGACCACCTGGAAGATTGCCCTGTGCCAGCAGGTCTCGTAGACTTTCCAGATCATACGCTAGAAGTCCGCTTACTGGTGGCGATTTTGTCGGAGACGAACCATCGGGAAGGGTGGCAGACCGACGCGGTCTAGTGGAGTTGCGACGTCGTTGCTGCGACTGCATTTGTGCCGATTGCTCCGTTGACGCCTCTGACTGACAGGTCTTGCTCAGAGCACAACGCAACAACGGCCGAGCGGCGGAGAGAGCTGATACTTCAACCAGAAGTCGTTCTGCTGCCTGTTGTGACCGAATAGGGCAGGAGGAGGCCTCACTGCCTGCATCATCAATCTCCTCTTCATTTTCTATTTTCACCTTGCTGACAACTGAATCATCTGATTTAAAGGAAGATAGCGAACGGGTCGGTGTGGCTGCTGTCACCTTGGAGGGTCGTCCCCTTTTGCGAGGCACGGTGGCGTCCATAGAGGCTCTGCCAACTGTACAAGGCGAGGTGTAAAATTTGTTGCTATTTAGTCTGCATACCTTTGATTATTCAAGAAAAGTGCAGAGCAGGACATTTCAAGATACAATAAGCGCAAACATAACGCTCTTACAAATTTGCTAACTTTTCAATTGCAAATTACGAATGCAAAATGGTGTTGATAAGTCGTCTGACTGTAGTAGCTATTTTTCAATTCTAGCAAATGATTCTCCAAAGAGGAATGCAATGTTCAAATACGAGCTCCAGTGGCCGATTCACATAAGGTGGATTTGAAAGCATTTTAATCGAGTTCATTCTGTAAGAAGCGGGACAAGTGGTAAGATCACCACATAATCATAAGTAATCCAGACACAATGGTGAATTATAGTGGGCTTGAAGATATTAATAAAAGGAAGAACGAATATAACACAAACCGGAAGTGCATAAGGCTGGAAATTTAGGGTAAATGGGACTCAAAAAACTGTGAATGTCACGTAAATTAATCAATTTTCATAGAAAGTAAGTCACTGAGCACAAAAGGGCTTCTTCTTCCAACGCCCATTCTATTGCAAGGGCTGAGGTATCGAAATGCTGGGATTGGCACCTGGACAGGATTTGCTGACAGTTATAGCTCAAGGAAGATGAAGATCAGCCGCGTCCCATCCAAAACAACCAATCAGGCTGCTACAGCTTAATGACCCACATGCGTGACAACCTGATTGGTTCTTTGATTAAAGCCCATCAACAAGGCATGGTTCTCCCGCATA